TGGTTGGTTGGTTGGTTGGTTGGTTGGTTGGTTGGTTGGTTGATTGATTGATTGATTGATTATGTGCTATCAAGTTGTTTTCAACACCTAGCAACCAGATAGATAGATGTCTAGCTTGACCAAACCCTTAAAAAAGTGGCTGTAAAAGCCAGCATTCTGGTTTCCTTGCTGTCCAAAGAGGATTGTGGGTGGGTGAAGGGGTCAGGGACCAAGAGGCCAGGGGCTGAAGGGGTGCTCCTACAGCAAACTGGCAGAACCAACCGGAACCACAAGCTTGCCATTATGGAGCACATCATTTCAGGTCACCTCCCCAATGCACATCAACGTGCACTGTTGTAGTGTGTTGAGGTAGGAGATTAGGAAAAACACCGGTTCCAAAGTGTAGTGCCTTAAGCTGTCCTGTCCTTGGGCTGTTTCAGCAGCAGAAGGACCCTGAGATACAAGCAGAGACATACAGACATATCCTTGGGAAACAGTAAGTAGGTTGTCCTCATGCTGGGACAAGGTTGTGTGGATTTGCTGCAAGACACAAGCTAGCTACTTTAGAAACTGAACAGGAATGAAGTCTCTGATACAAGAATTGGTTGCCCACAGCACAGCAAGGAATTCAGAGCCTCATTTTGGTCTAGTGGTTAAATTCAGAGCCAGTTTGGTGGTGGTGAAGGCACCAGGCTAGAAAGCAGAAGAGGGTGAGTTCTAGTCTGGCCTTAGGCATGAAAGCCGCCTGGGTGACTTTGGGCCAATCCCTCTCCCTCAGCCCAAGTTACCTCACGAGGTGGTTGTTGTGGGGAAAATAGGAGGAAGGAGCATTAGATATGTTTGTCGCCTTGAGCTATTTATAAAAATAATAAAAGTGGGATAAAAAAATCTTTTTTTTTTTCAGAGTGTGTAAACTCATCTTTTTCTTCCTGTCTTTTCCAAGGCCATGGATGCACAGCCAGTCTCTTGACAGCATTGGGAGGCAGCTGGGAGATGTTTTCATAACAGTCGTTTCTCTCCTAGGAACCCTAGTTCCAGCCTCACTAGTCTCAGCCCTTGAAGGCAAGGGCCGTTAACTCCAGGATGCCTCCCCCTGTGTTAGAGTTGGAAATAAAATTAATAAAATTAATTTAAATTAAACTTAGATAAAAGCCATGGAATCCAACCCTTTCTTCAGACCAGAAATACCTCAATTAAAGCATCCCTAGCAGGTGTCTATCCAGCTCATCTTGAACACATCAAGGAAGGCAAACCTATCACCATTCTGGGCCACTGGTTCCACTGTAGAACTGCTTTTACTGTTAGGAAGTTTCTGTAAAACTTAAAAATCCTTACTCAGACTAGATTTCTCTTGTCAGGAACACTCACATGCACCCACAAATTTGCTTTCTACAAATTCTTTTTCCAGGGGTTTGGATGGAGTATCAGGCTCCATATTAAAAACAAGTCAATGAGGCAGGACAAAGAATCGGGGATGCCCAGAAAAAAGCAACCCTAACTTTGATTAATTAAGTAGAGTTAGTATAACTATTTTCTAGGTAATAGAAAATATTTCTATTTCTATTTCTATTCCATTAGAAATTACAATGTAGCAGTACCCTTTTGGAGGTGCTTGGGGTTGCAATCGAGACTTCTGGGGGTCCTCAGGTTGGGCCCCTTTGGTGTTGATGGTTGCCACGTTAATGCTGTGTCTGAATATGCATAAGAAAATCCAGTGAACCAAGTCCTTGAATGCAGCAATGCAAGCCGTCTTCATGAACATCTTCAATCTTTATGTATGACACTTCTTCCATCCAGTTCTGCTGTCTTCAAAATCATGTTCATTTTGAGCGAGATTTGATTTTCTCTTCCCTTTAGGACCAGCTGAAGGCATCTCTGGAGCCTCTGGAGGAAGGTCTCAGACGGTTGAAAAGGAGTCAGTGTCACCAGCAGGAGAACATTATTGAATTAAAGGTGCAGTTGGGAAGTAATGAGGGTTGGACTTTGAGTTTGTTTAATGTTAAACTGAATACAGCTTCTCATTCTTCATCCCGGGACCCCTTGCCATCAGTGCTACAGTCTGTGGTTCATTGATTTCATACTCAGTGTTTGATGGTCAGCATTTAATCCAGGCTCCTGCAATTCAGTCTGAGGAAAAGAAAAGCTACTTGCTTATTTGATTTGCATGATTGAGATCAGCAGAAAACAAATAAAAATGTGGTTGTGTGGTACTCAGATTGCCAGCGATCAACCATGCATTTTTCAGGATATTCCGTTCTGTTCCTCCTTCCCCTTGGATTCTCAGTTCAGTTTTAAACACTTAGAAGCATTGTGGTGCTCTAAGCTACCACAAAACACACACCTACAATTAGCATGGAACTTAGAATGTGTGTGTGTGTGTGTGTGTGTTGTCACTAGCATTATAATAAAAAAGATAAAGGATTTCAATTGCTGGTGTTGCTTAAGCAATTGTCATAGTGGCTTTAATTATCTTAGAAGCATTGTGGTGCTCTAAGCTACCACAAAACACACACCTACAATTAGCATGGAACTTAGAATGTGTGTGTGTGTGTGTGTGTGTTGTCACTAGCATTATAATAAAAAAGATAAAGGATTTCAATTGCTGGTGTTGCTTAAGCAATTGTCATAGTGGCTTTAATTATGTGGCATCAAGTTGTTTTTGATTCCTAGCAAGATAGATTTTCTCCATGATGATTTGTCCATAAACCTGTTATTTGAGGTCTTCTAACAGTGCACTCATCGCCACTGTAACTGAGTCCATCCCCCTTGCTGTTGGTCATCCTCTTTTTCTCTTTCCTTCCATCTTTCCCAACATTTGAGCCTTCTCCAGAGAGCTTGGTCTTTGCAGAATGTGTCAGAAGTAGGATAATTTCAGCCTGGTCATTGGTGCCTCGAGTGAGAACTCTGGGATGATTTGTTTGATGGTCCATTGGTTTGTTTTCTTGGCCATCCACAGTATTCTCAGGAGTCTTCTCCAACACCAAAGTTCAAAGGCGTCAAAACTCTTCCTATCCTGCTCCTTGAAAGTCCAACTTTTGTTTTCATAGAATGTCACAGGACTTGCATGATTCTGATCTTTGTAAGTATAGACACATCACGGTATAATGGCATATCAGCTCCTTATGCTGTCATGATGGTAATTTTATATTTGAGATCCTAGATCAGTCATGGCACTGTCTTGACTACTCCAATGTGCTGTTTGTGGAGCTCTCCTTGAAGAGTGTATAGAGATTATAGCAAGTGTAATATGGGGCTGCTAGGTGCACGAGATAGGGATGATATGATGCCTGTACTGAAAGGTCTGCTTTGGTTGCCAATTGTTGACTTGGCACAAATCAGTTAATTAATTGTACTTATAATCTACCTCAGTCCCAAAGGATCTGGATGATGTAGGGATAATTAAGGGATAAAACCCAAGATAGGTAGCCCCCATCATGAACTGGGCCAAAGTCTTGTTGAAATGAAACTGATTTAAATTGTTTCCAGGACATCAACAAAGTGTACTTTTGGGGAAAGAATTTTCTATGGAATGGGGGCTACCACAGGCCTGCCAGCTTGCCTGAACCCCATGTAACTTGTCAATAGTGGCCATATAAGTTTGCTAAATAAATAAATAAATAAATAAATAAATAAATAAATAAATTGAATGAATGAATGAATGAATGAATGAATGAATGAATGAATGAATGAATATTGCAGTGGACATGTAAGTCAAGCCAATATTATAGAATGCATAAATACAGCTAGAGAACACTTAGATCAGTGTTTCTCAATCTTAGCAACTTTAAGAAGTCTGGACTTCAACTCCCAGAATTCCTCAGCCAGCAAGCTGGCTAGGGAATTCTGGGAGTTGAAGTCTAGACATCTTCAAGTTGCCAAGGCTGCAAGACACTGACTTAGACTGTATAATATTCATTAGAGGGGGGGAAAAGTCCATTCCAAAATACATTTTAAAACTCATGTCACAACAGTTGTTGGCCAAGCAGAGAATAGAATAGGGCTATCCTAACTGTAAATCACTCAAGCTAAGGAAGGCTCATGCAAAAAAATGCTGTTTGCTTAGTTTACTGCAGTGTTTCTCAACCTTGGGGAATTTAAGAAGCATGGGATTCCACTCCCAAGAATTCCCCCGCAGCCCTGTGGGGGGGGGGGAACCTGGGGTTGGA